CAGAGACCGGAAATCGAGTGGAACTCATCATTGAGTATCGCTCTGATTTGTACCATTCGCAAGTCATTGAAAGCTTTACACAAATGATGGGCATCATTTTGACTAGGGCCAACAAAAACATTCAGAATATAACTGTGGCAGCCATGTTGCAATTTCCAATAAGTCTGCGTATGTTCACAATGCCACCACGACGAGAAGTAGCCAATAAAGAGGAGTCAAATCTTTCAGTGACTTTTTCTCAGCTGTGCAGAAACTCCCAGTCTCCAAGCCTTATTCGTGTCGGAGAAAAGCCTGCAATCGACTCTGTTCGAATTGAGCAACTCGCTTACCAAATGGCCAAACGTATTTTTTCACTTTCCGAGTTTAACAACAAGTGTCCTATCATTCTGTATATGCATCGGAATTGGGATATTATTGTATGTATTCTAGCCATATGGAAATGTAACGGATGTTTTGTTCCAGTATCCTATGGAGATCCAGGTCGTCTTCAAGAAATCGTCAAGGAAGCTGGTTCGAAAATTATCATTACGAATGAACCATCACTCATTAATGGTGAACAACTTCAGTTACCTGGTCTCCGTTGTCTGCAAGTTAAATCTCTTCTAACTCAATACAAAGACATTGTGATTGAGTTACCAAAGCCAGAAGGAGGTGAAAATATTGCTTATTGCATTTTTACTTCTGGATCAACGGGTACACCAAAACAATGTCGAATCACTCACAACAATCTGCAGAGAATGATTCAAGCCTGGAAAGCAGACTATAGACTTGATACCGGTGAGTTTCAATGTATAGTTCTGCAGTGGGCAGTGTTCTCTTTCGACGTATTCATGGGTGATATCATGCGTGCTCTCTTTTGTACTGCTGGTCATTTGGTGTTTTGTCCCGAAGAAAAACGATTGGATCTAGATTATATTCGAAACTTGATAGATTCTCAAGGGATTACAATTTTCGAAACCACACCAGGTTTCTTGTTTCCATTGTTGGCGGGATGTGACGCTGGAATGTTAAGTTCGTTGCGCATTCTAGTTGCGGGATCAGACAAACTTTTACAACATCAGTATAGTATCTTGCGATCCAAGCTCTCTCTTGATTGTCGGTTACTCAACAGCTATGGTATGAGTGAAGCGACAATCGATTCCAGTTTCTTCGAATGGAATTGTTCTGCCATGATTCCAACACCCTCTAGAATGACTCCAATTGGAAAAGCAATGACAGGGGTTGAGTTGGCCGTGGCTTATATACAAGGCAATGATGCCATTGACCTTCCATTTGGTGCAGTTGGAGAATTGTGCATTGGAACTAGAACTTGTGGTCCTGCAAATGGCTCTCTGGTTAAGCTTTTCAATAGGTCATTTATGCGAACAGGTGACAAGGCACGCTGGCTTCTTGATGGAAATATCGAACATCTTGGTCGACTTGATCGAACAATCAAGATTAGAGGAAGAAGAGTCGATCAGTCCGATGTTGAGACTCATATTTTAGCTGTTTTGAGAGCAGAAACTGTGGCGGTTCATGTCAATGTTGTTAATTTTAAAGATCGAGAATTGTTGGTGGCATTTGCTGTGCCAAAAGACAATACAGATTCGAATAATTTAATGTCTCTTCAACAGCTGAAAGCACAATTGGTTTCTAGACTTCCCAGTTATCTGCACCCGGAGGTATTAAAGTGGATTCCTAGCTTACCATTTTCCAAGAATGGAAAAGTTAATCCAAAGGGACTTCCGTCCATTGAAGAATCGGATATTACTGGATTGAAAGAGAGAGAAGGGTTAGCTTCTATGTCTGCTGATCCAATTTATCAACAACTGCAGGATATATGGAGGCAGAGTGGAGGTGCTTTGGGTACAGTTGATTCCACTTGGCTGGAAACAGGAAATAGTATAATGCTATTGATATTTCAAAACTTGTTAAAGGCATCTGGTTTTAAAGATGTCACTGTGTCGCTGCTTTTCGAGTATACGACAATTCGCGAACTTGGTGATTACTTAAAGGCATCATCGCATAAAATGTTCCAGGATGAAGATTCCTCTACATTGAGCAAATTTAATTCACAATCAGTATCGGATCCTTCTCCGACAACAACGCAAGTCACTAGAGAAGGAACAAAGCGATTTTCAATTGCAATTGTTGGAGTTGGGATTAGATTGCCTGGGAACGTTAATTCACTAGATGAACTGATCGAAGCATTATTGAAACCGGGTGACTTTGTTCGTCAATTCCCAGCAAATCGCAGGGATGACTATGTCAAGTGTGTTCCCTTGGTGGAAGCGAATCGTGTAACAAAAGCTAAGGAGTTCCAGGGATGTTTCCTGCAGTCTGTTGATGGTTTTGATCCCCAATTTTTCAGAATTCCACCAGAAGAGGCATGCAATATGAGCATCGAACAGCGACTACTTCTTCAAGTGGCCACTGAGGCTTTGGACGATGCTTCACTTCTTCGTTCACAGAACCGAAAAGTGGGCGTATTTATTGCCGCTCCCGATTCGAAATACTCTGAACTAATAAATACAGAAAATCCAACCGCAATTTCTGGAACTATTATTTCGATGATTCCTCGCAGAATCGCCTATTTTTACGATTTTCAAGGGCCTACAGAGCTCATAGATAGCGCTTGCGCATCTGGATTGGCCGCCATGGATAGAGCAATCTCTTCTATTCACACAAGCAACTGTGAAGCGGCTATTGTTGGTGGAGCGAACATTTTTCTCTTTCCACATCGTCAAGGAACTTTCAGTGACATTGGAATTTTGTCTCCAGATTTTCATTGTCGTTCTTTCGATGTTCAATCAAACGGCACTGCTGCAGGTGAAGGAGCCATTGCAGTTGTTCTTAAATCATTATCTGCTGCAGAACGGGATAAGGACTACATCTACGGAGTTATAGAGTCCATTACCGCAAATAATTGTGGAAAGAGTAGTTCTCTTGTGGCTCCAAAAGCTTCAGCTCAAGTAGCTGCTATTCGAGAGGCTCTCATTAGAGCAGAATTATCGCCTTTAGACGTTGATATAATTGAAGCTCATGGAACAGGGACTAAAATCGGAGATCAGGTGGAACTGGATGCCTTGCAACAAGTATTTCGTGAGCGTTCAGAAAGCAATCCTGTGAAAATTGGAAGTTCAAAATCCAAATTTGGTCACTTGGACTCTGCTGCAGGCTTATTGGGATTAGTCAAAATTCTCGCTTGTTTTAAGTCACATATAATCCTTCCAACTCATAATTTCTCTCAACCACACGAGTTGTTGCAATCAGATGCAAACAGGTTACAAGTATCCGTAAAACCAGAACCGTGGCGCATTTGCCACGATGAGACCGAGAAGTTGAGCGACATAAAGATGACAATGGATACAAGAGACGTAACACAGCCAACACATCGAAAACCAAAGCCCCGAATTGCAGGCCTGACTTCACTTGGACTGAATGGAGCAACTTATCATGCTGTACTTACAGAACACAAAGCACAAGAAAATAAACATATTGGACAGCAAAATTGTATGGTGCTCACGATCTCGGGTGCGACAGCAAAGGATCTTATTCTTCAACTTCATTCTATTGCGTCGTTCGTTAGCGGTAAAAGTGCAGAGTTTGTGGCCAACGTATGCTACACTATGGCAAAACGAAGATTTCATCGACAAGAGTTTCGAATGATCCTCTCCAGCTCTCATAATTCACATTCGGAGCTAATGGACACACTACAAGAGGTGGTTCAGTCCACCAGGGAGGTCTTGGCATCCGACAGCGATGAATCATGTCAGACCTTGTTAATGTCGTGTTGTTCCAGGCTTTTGGGAAGAAATTTCGTTTTAGTTGAAAATTCGACTCAGCCTGATCCACTCAACGATCTTCAGTACGGCGATAGGACATTTAACGGCTGCTGTTCATTACCTGTACCGTCTCGATTATTCAAAAATATTCGATGTTGGTGCCCCGAAAGGACAAATGGCATCCTTGAAGATCCAATGGTTAACAATGTGCGCTCTATACTAGAGAAAAAATTAATTCAAACTCTTGAAATCATTAGACACCTGAATATAAATCCTCCTTCAGATCTTCAACCAACTTTGTTGCACTTCTGCAATGGAATAATTCTAAAGTTTCTCCGTGAAAGAGGCATTTTACAATTTACTGGCATATTCAGTGATCTTTTCCGTCGTTTGCAAATGCATGAAAGATATCTTGCGCTGTTTACAGTGATGTGGGATTCGCTTCGCGAAGAAAATATTTTGGTTTCATTTGATGACTCCGAAACAAACTCTTTCAAACTTGATGAAGCTGAGCTCTTGGCTGATAGAGCTTTACAGGATGAATGTGACAGAGCTGTGCTTCAGTATCCAGCCTATAGTGATCAATTTAAATTTCCACTATACGTTTCAAAGTTTTACAATGATGTTCTGTGTGGTCAAATGTCGCCTTTGTCAGTCATTTATCCAAACGGTGATCTTTTCTACGTCGAGTCAAATTATGTCAAACTAGGGGATTGCATGGGTGACGTTCTGTACAATATGTACTGTCAGTTCATATGCGAACAAGTGAGTCGTTTGATGGTTTCTCGTAGTCCTGGCAGTAAAATTCGAATTCTGGAATGCGGTGCAGGAATGGGTTTGGTGACTCGACAATTGGTTGCTCGGCTTGATGAGATTAATCATGGACGAAACATGCTTCAATACTTTTTCACTGATCTTGGAAAAGCTTTTGTGGAGAATGCCAAGCGCATTTTTGCAGACTATCAGTTCATGAAATATCAAGTCTTCGACATAACTAAACCAGGAGTCCAACAAGGATTGCTTGGAAAGTTTGATGTCATTATCTCATACAATGTTATTCACACGACTCCAAGCATTCAAGACTCGTTAAACAACCTCGTTAATACGCTCGATGAAAACGGGAACTTATTTGTTATTGAATCTTGTCGAAATGAAACATGGAGTACCCTTGCATGGGGAGTTCTGGACGGTTGGTGGAATGGTCGATATGATAATCTTCGTCCAGACAACAATCCCATGATGGATCCTGAGCGATGGAAACGTGCTATGAAAGAAGCAGGTTTTCGTCAGATTGTATCATGTCCATCAGATCTAAATCCCGTGCTTGATGTTGAGAAACATATGCTTGTTTGCTCGAAACAACCTGAAACTGAAATTGAGCTACACAATCGTGCGGTACAAAAATGTTGGTGGGAAGGTTTTCGACCTTCAGATTCATTACAAGCTTTACAAAATGATACGCATAGGACAATCGAAGCTCTATCAAAGCAATCTGTTCCGTTAGCTACTGAAAGTGAAGAGTGGCAAATTCAGCCTGCTCAAGTTGAATCAATGATGCAGGAAATTTGGTGCGAATTACTCGGACATAAAACAATTAATGTTAACAGCAGCTTTGCTTCACTTGGTGGAGAAAGTCTAGTAACAATTCGAATGATTCAAGTCGTTCGCCGGTTAATAGGAGCGGATATCGAAATAGCTGATGTTTTTGCGTATCCGACAGTGAAAACTTTATCCGCACACTGCATCAAACTATTAAGAAAGTCTAAACGGTCAGCCACCAACTCTTTTCAACAAGAAGAAGCCATTTCACATCGTGTACACTCAAATGGCATAGCAAAGCCCAGTACTAATACTATCGTTGCTCACGCTCCACTCTTTGACTGTTCCAATGATGAGGTTTTGCAGCAACTTAATATGAAGATCGTGTGTATCTTTCCGGGGCAAGGCTCAGCAACGATTGACGAATTCAAAAACATTTCTCAATTTCCTGCCGCGCAACAAGTATTTTCGACAGCATCAAAAGTTCTGGGTTACGACTTGCTCGAAAGTTGCCAAGTCATTTTACAAGATCCCAGCGGTATGAAAAGCTTAGACATCATTCAACTGGCTGTGCTAACTTCCTCTGTGGCTAGTCTGAGAAGCATAGAAGCCGGAGAGCAAGGAGAAATTTTACAGAGAGCTGTACAAAATCGAACCGTATGTACTGGATTGTCTTTAGGTCAATATAGTGCACTCGTAGCAGCTCATGTTCTGGATTTTGATACTGCAGTGGTGTTAGTGCAAGCTCGAGCGAAATTAATGGAGGAAAAAGGACAAAAAGGTGGTGGTATGCTTTCAATTGCAGGTATCGACCTCGATTCACTTCAGAAAATGTTACAGACTGGAAAATCTTCTTTGAAAATTGCAAATTATCTTGCTCCAAATCATTTCGTATTAAGTGGAAGCGTTGTTGAAATTGAAGCCTTTGAACTTCACTTTAGCAATCTGCATGGAAATGTTAGCATCAGGCGTCTTCCTGTCTTGAGAGCTTTTCATAGTAAAGCTATGAAGGATGCAAGTGATGTTTACAAGAATGAGCTTCAGAAATATCGTACGGCTTTCAAATCACCACAAACAAAACTCATTATGAATGGGAAAGGAGGCGCAGTTGTAGTAGAAGCTGGCGAAAAAGCAGATGTTATTTTTACACTACTCGAAGAATACGATATCGATGAGCCATGTTATTGGAGTCAAATGAACGACAAACTGCAAGAAATATTTCAAAGTGACACGAATATTGGATGCATTGAAGTTGGATGTGGAAAAGTATTGTCTCGAATTCTGCAGCGAAGGAAATTTCCAAATGTGGTTGTTCGGTCAACAGGTTTTGGGCTGGAGCAATTAATCCAAAGACGACGACCATCAGAAAAACCAATTGTGATTGCATCACAACAGCAACGACTTCGGATCGTAGTTCTCCATGGCATGTCTGCTAATGGTGAGATCATGAAGACAGTGTTGACTTGGCGTAGATGGAATCAATTACCATATGATTTTGTATGTCTCACGGCCCCACATATTATTCCAGCCTTGCCTCACTGCTACAGCACAATGGATGAGGCTGGTCAATACTCGTACACGTCTGATCGTTATCGATCATGGGGAATTAGTCCAGAAACAGCCAGAACGCTCTATAAAGAGAAGATTGAACTATCAGTAAGGAAAATAGACAATGAACCTGAGCTTAGCCACGAACCAAAAACTGCATGGAGAATACTTTCGGCGATCGGTAATGATAATGTTTGCTTAACGCTGTGGAAAGAATCTTTGGAATCCATCAAAGTTCAATTGGACGAAATCGGACCAATTCATGGCTTGGTAGGGATGTCAGAGGGAGCATTAGTCTGTGCCCTTTTGGTCTCGGCACAAAATTCTGATATGAACATTAATCACGGACACAAGTTTAAATTTTCCATTCACATATGCAGCGGAGATCCACAATCTGTTCCAGAATGTGTTCGTCAGTCGGCCGGGCTCTCTACTTTGACTACGACTAGTTCTAACTTCAAATCAGATGGCCTTTTTGCTCCACCATCGCTGCATATAATTGGTGGAAAAGATAAATTCGTCAAGGATGGAGGTGTAAAGCTTGCAAAACTTATGAAAAATAGCAAAATTGTCACCCTACCAAATCTTGGTCATGAAATGCCGTTTATTGACAGCAAATCAACAGTCGTCACTGATTTTTTACAAGAATTTGTGGCAACATAAATGCTGCACGTAGAAACTTCAATATGTTTTCTTTCTTAACTTACGAAAACTTTCACATGCTTAAACTTTCATTTCAAGGTGATTTGTATGTCCTAAACTTTCGTTTAAAGAAGAGCTATACTACTTCTGAAATCAGCATTGTCATCTTTACTGTACTACGTTAATTTTCATTAAAGCAGATTTATTTGAACACATAAATCCATTTATCATTTTTTTAGTGCAACGCCAACGTTCAAATTCATTCTCTAAGCTCTATCTAACAATCCCAATACTTCATTTTACTTATTTGCCATAGAAACAGGAGGAGGTATTCGAAAATTCAATTACTCGTACGAAATGTCAGCAAGTTCGATTTATGACGGCTTTATAGGAGGACACTGCAACAAGACGTACAGCACAAAAATAAACTGCATAAATCTTATATATGTGGTTTTTGATTCCGAGGAGTTGGGCGTAGATGAAAACAGTACCGAATCGTGCAAGTGAAAAAGCCATATAAATCAAGGGCATGACCACATAAATCTGATAAATATTTATGACCTTGGTTAGGCTATGATACAAAGAATTACAATTCGAACAATCTCCATAGCGTCTACTGCGACTCCAGACACAATCTAACTCACAGTTCTGAGTACAGTTTAGATTGGCACACATTTCGAAAAGTAAAAACTGGTTGCATAAGTTCTAGAGATTGTTTAATAGTCACTCAAAATGAACTACCCTATGGTCACAGCGATAAAGCAAGCCCTAACTAAAATGCTTTATTTTAGCTCGCTAAAATTCTCAAGCATTGTTTGTGAATAGAATGAGATCATATTCCAACCTTCACCAACAACAAAGACAGTCTCCTTCTTTGAAACGCTGAAACCGAACTGGTTAGGCATCATCCGGTTTACCATGATCCCTACTACGGTAGATGAAATGAAAAATTCGAAAATGAGAGAAACAAAAGGACAAATTAATTCTCTCGTATGGTTTCAATAGAACCATAATCTATGATATCAATAGCAATTTCTGTTCTGATCACCAATGATAAAAAAGTACACTCTCAAAAAAAAAAGATTTTTTACGAAAATAAAAAAAGATCTTTCGCTGGACACAAACTTGAAACCTTCTTTTAGTTCCATACAAAAAAAACTTTCTTATCAAATCTTCCACAAAAAACTTACACTCCTTTCTCAAATCATCAAGGATTGCCTAGTTTTATGCAATAGATCACAGCCTTATGGTTGCTGGTGATCATTTTAAATGCAGAAACTTGAGCAATAGCAAACATTGGTCTCGGTAAATATTTCAGCGAAAACTGAAGTGAAACTAAATTGATTGGTTGACTAATAGTCTCTTGTTTGGTGTTTTTCAAATGGACTATAAGCATCACGAGTGTTCGAAACGAATATATTTCAGGAACATTTGTATTTGAAAATGATTGATATTTGTTTGTTTCATTCACTATTCGTTCTTATTCCGTTCGATCGATTAATACTTTAAAAAATTTCAACAGACATTCGCTTTCTGAGTCAAGTATTTTCGAATCGACATCAGTCTGCAGCTTAAATTCGAATACATGCGGCGTAAAATAACCCGCTCTTCAGGATCTTTAGATTATTATTACACAAATATTTTTGTTTCGAAATATGATAAGACCTCTAAGAAGTCGATTTTCATGATGAAAATCTTTGGAGTTAGATCTTTCTGAAAAACTTTACCGTGTATATAGTACCTACAGCAGAGAATATTCAGAAATTTTTGGAGTTTTCTACCATATCATTAGAAAGATATTCACTAATTACTTTTTAATAGAGTAATTAATTAAATCAGACTAGTGTGGTTCCTGAAGGGTTAAAACAACCCGGTACAGCATGTATACCTGTGATGGGAACACGATGAAATTGACGCAACTCAGCGCATATACGCATATCTGCAACGTGGATAAGCTGAAATATTGACAAAATTAAATCCTCATAAATCCTCCCTAGATCAATACATCTCATAGAAAAATAAATTTCAAAAAAGAATAAATCTCGGCATGCTCCCTAACCTTTAGGTTGATGTAAAACCTATATACATATATATATATATATATATATCCTCTTTCGGCTACAAGTATATATTCATTCAAATCTTTTATAGTTATAGGACAGATTAAGACGTCTACAAGTAAGTGAAAATTATTTCGAATTATTTGTCGATGTATGTTTTATTCTTATTATAACTAAATAACAACTTTATTTTTTGCTTATAGTTGATCGACATCAGTAAATATTTTATACAGATTTGGATTGAAAATATTTATTGAATTGTAATAATATGTCTAAACCGACTTTTGAAACGAAGTCAAACGATATTAAAAATAATACAATACCAATCACCGATTATATACCGAAACAAAGGTCTATATCTAAAAATCCGTATAGTGATTCCAACAAGTAATGAAAATCATTACTTTTGATATAATAGAATCTTGGCTTTTATAGATTTCATTTGAATGAAATTTCTATTTCAAATGAACATAAAATTGTTCATTCTAATGATAATTATATTAGCGATAGCGATGAGATAATTAATGACGTTCAAGAAAAACATTTTGAAGGAGAATTAGATGATGTTGCTACAATTCAACAAATACAAACTAATATGACTGTTCCTCCCGGTGGAAGTGAAATGTCTGAGCAAACACCTGCTCACCAGAAACGATCCGGTTTTCTTTCAAAAATTCTGTTCGTTTTTTTTTATTGAAATGTAATATTTTCATTTTTTTGTTCGTTATAGTCTTTTTCGTAAATCAGAAAAGTCTAAGAAAACTGAAACTCGTCATTTGAAGCTATATGAATTGTATAGATTTGCTAATAAAATGGATGTTTTATTGATGATTATTGGTACCATAGCCGGTTAGTTCTATAATTTTCTGTGTTATTTTATATTCTTTATTTCATTTTTATTTTTATATTTAGCAATAACAATTGGTGGTAAGTGTTATGACTATAGCATCAAAAAGTAATAGTTAAAAAACATTATTTTATATTGACAGCTCTTTTTCCATTGTTAATGGTTCTTTATCAAAGAGTAATAAATAGTCTCGTTGAATTAGGAAAATTACAGACATCTGTTAATGCAAGTACTGTCATGCCTATAAACTTTGGTGAATGGTAACTTGAATTTATTTTTTGTTTTTTGTATTTTTTATACTGTTATTTCATAGTTCTATTCTATCAAACAACAGTACCCGGATTCAGCCACCTCAAGATGTTATACTTGCAATTATAAAGTATTATGTTCTTCTTGGGTTTATTAACATTCTTTGTTATTGGATTGCTTGGGCAAGTTGGAATATAGCTGCTGAAAGACAAATTCGACGTATGCGGTATGTAACTATTTTTATTGAAGAATAAGTTTTACATGTTAATTATGTTTTTAGTTATGCTCTTTTTCGAAATATCTTAAGACAAGAAATTGGTTGGTTTGATGTACATAATGCAGGTGGATTAAATAATCGTCTTATCACAGATTTAGGTAAGAAAACCAATTAAAATATTTTTATTTTCTTATTATTACTTCATTTTCAACATTTATAGATACTATTAAAGATGGAATAAAGTATGTCACTTTTAATAGGATTAATAGTTATTTAATATTATTGATGGTAGTGAAAAGATGCCGGATTTTATCTCACTTCTTGCTCGTACGTTAGGTGCACTCATCTATACTCTTACAATAGGATGGAAATTAACACTTGTCTTTCTGTCAGTGTCACCGCTAATAATTATTACTTTCAACTTAGTAGTTAAAGTAAGAAAACTTTGAATTTATATTACTACTTCAACTTAAACGAAATTATCTTTCAGGTCGTGATAAAATATACAAGTAAAGAAACTGAAGCTTTTGCATTAGCATCATCGGTTGCTCAAGAAGTATTACAAAACATTCGAACAGTGACAGCATTTCATGGCCAAGCGAAAGAAGAAGAAAGGTGAATAAATATTATCTATCAACAACTATTTACAACTTCATTTTTCTTCGTTTTAGATTTGTTAAGAACTTAATTGTAGCAAAAAAAATTGGAATTAAAAAAGGTCTATATATGGGCATATGTCAAGGTCTATCACAACTTTTTACGTTTCTATCATTTACTCTCACATTTTGGTATTGAATCTAAATGCTCGTTAATTTCTCAGACTTAAGTTTTTCTCAAACAATTCAAGGTATGGTCCACAACTTGTTCGAACTGATTGTACACATTACTCACCCGGTACACTATTGGTGGTAAATAGATCATATATTTTTTCTGTTATCTATTCATCTCATGTAAAATTTTTATAATTATAGGTGTTCGCTGCTTCTTATGTTAGTCATTTTCTTGATATATTAGAGAGTATCTATAATAATTTATATTTATATTTATTAGGTTGCAACAAATAGCATGTCACTATTTATTCCGAATATTCAAAATTTTGCAGAAGCCTTAGCGAGTGCAAGTTATGTGTTCGATATAATCGATCGAGTAAGTTGTAGATTATTTCATTACAATCATGTAAACATACATTTGTTCTTTGATCAGCAAACAAAAATTGACGCATCAAGTGCAGATGGTGATAAACCACAAAATATTATTGGTGATATTGAATTTGACAGTGTTACATTCACTTATCCTGCACGACAAAAAGCATCTGTATATTTTTATAATTTTTTCACATTATTTTATGATCAATATTCCTTTATTATTTAGATTCTTAATAAATTATCATTAAAAATTCCATCTGGTAAAACTGTTGCTTTAGTTGGCACATCAGGATGTGGAAGTTAGTTTGTCTATTTCCCTGGTCAATCTCATAATTTTTATTTCATTCATAGAAAGTACAATAATTCAACTAATTCAACGATTCTATGATCCAGATGAAGGTCAAATTTTACTTGATGGAAAAGATATCAAAACATTAAATATTGCCTGGCTTCGTTCACATATTGGAATCGTTAGTCAAGAACCTGTTCTTTTCACTGGATCAATTGAAGAAAATATTCGTTTTGGAAAAGAAAATGCAACTGATGATGAAGTTCAAACTGCTGCTAAAATAGCAAATGCACATGAGTTCATTATGACATTTCCAGAGGTATTACACACTCCCTCTCTCTTTCGCATTGCTTTTATTTTCTCAATTAACATTCTTATGATGTCTAGAATTATAAGACACTATCAGGTGATAAACTAAGTGGCGGTCAAAAACAACGAAGTAAAAATGATGAATATTTATTGATAATGAATAAAGAATATTATTATTATTTTAGTTGCTATTGCTCGAGCATTAATTTCAAATCCAAAGATTCTTCTTTTAGATGAAGCAACAAGTGCACTTGGTTTGTTATTCTTCTTTGTTTTTATTCTAACCTTACAGAAAAAAAATACTATATAATAGATAATACAAGCGAACGTATTGTTCAAGATGCATTAGATAAAGCAAAACAAGGTCGAACAACAATTGTAATTGCTCATCGTTTAAGTACAATAAGAAATGCTGATTTAATAATTGGATTAGAACATGGTCAAGTACTTGAATATGGAACACATGATGATTTGATGGAACAGAAAGGTCTTTATTATGTATTAGTAACAGCTCAAACTCAAAAAGAAAAGGAAAAAGAAAAAGAAAAAGAAGATGATCCAGATATTGATAAAGAAGATGATGAAGTCGAAATAGATTTTGTTCAACAAAATTCAAGTACATCGTTCTTATATTATCTTATTTATAAAATTGATTCTATTATTGATTTTAGCTCCTCATAGCTATTTAAAACAATCGAGTGCTTTAGGCAACGATTTGGATGATAATGATGATGAAGATAAAGAGATAGCATTCGATAATTCTTCGACGAAAAAAAAGAAATGTTTTCGTACTCCATTTGCATTAAAAATGTTGAAACTCAATGCTCCAGAATGGCGTTGGATTCTTCTAGGTACAATTTGTTCCATCATCTATGGTGCTATGCAACCACTTTTTTCACTTTTATTTGCTCAAGTCTATGGTTTATTTGCTATACCAAGTATTGAAGAGCAAGAACGTTTAACAAGAATTTATGCAGGATCTATTTTCGCAATTGGTTTTGCTGGAGGTGTAGCCCTACTTCTTAGTAGCTTTGGATTTGCTAAATCAGGCGAAGCGTTAACTATGCGTATGCGAAAATTAACATTTTCTGCAATTCTTCGACAAGAAATGAATTATTTTGATTATGAGTCAAATTCAGTTGGAGCTATTATTACACGTCTATCCACTGATGCATCTGCTTTGAAGGTTATCATATCTTAACTAAAGTTTTTACAAGAAATAATACAACATATTTATAGGGTATGACTGGTGCCCGTATTGGAATCATACTTCAAGCATCAAGTACGATTATAACTGCTCTTGCTGTTTCATTTTCAGCTAGTTGGAAATTGGCACTTGTTGTCATCTGTTTTATTCCGTTAATGATGTTAAATGGAGTACTTCAAGGTAACAAACAAGGTAAGGCTGGTCAATCGAAAGATAAAGATTCATTCGCTGAACAAGGCGGACAGGTATAAATAAAGAACATTATCACTTCATTTTCTGTTGACTTTATAAACTCTTTTAATGTATAGTATGCCACACAAGCTATAGAACATATTCGCACAGTCGTGAGTCTTCATCAAGAAAATCATTTTATTAATCTCTATGAGAATGCATTTAACCAAGAATTCAAGTAAAAAACTTTGTCACCTTTTTTCCTATTGAACTGATTCTATATGTAATGGTCACATTTAGGAAACAAATGTGCCGTATACATCTAATTGGGATAGGAAATGGAATTGCTAATTCAGTATTTTATTTTCTCCACAGTGCCAATTTTTCATATGGTAGTAAACTTGTCGCAGACGGAGAAATGCAATTTAATGGAGTAGTCAGGTAAACGATGTTTTGATATCTCTGTTTGAAGATACACACATATTATTTATTAGAATTTTTTCTGCTATTACTTATGCTATGACGACTGTTGGTCGTTCAATGTCTCTGATTCCTGATTATTCGAAAGCAAAAAAAGCAGCATTACGAATCATACGAATTAATGAACGAAAATCACAAATCAATCCTCATGATGAATCGGGCATCATTTTGGTATTGCATTTACCATGAATACTTTTGTTTCTAGAACAAGTAATTTGTATTTGATATTTAGAATGAAGTTATAGGTAATATTGAATTTCATGATGTTCGCTTTCGATATTCAAGTCGACCCACTGTCCGTGTTCTCCGAGATTTTTCATTAAAATGTTCAACCGGTGCTACAACAGCACTTGTTGGTCCATCAGGTGGTGGGAAATCAACAATTGTTGCATTATTACAACGATTCTATGATCCTTTGAAAGGAAAAATTTTACTTGATGGACATGATATAAAAGTTCTTAATCTTCGATGGCTTCGATCATTTATGGGTCTTGTTCAACAAGAACCAGTTCTTTTTAATCTTTCTATTCGTGATAATATTGCTTATGGGGATAATAGTCGGGAAGTAAAACAAGACGAAATTCAAGTTGCAGCACGAATGGCTAATATTCATGAATTAATCATTTCATTACCAAAGGTTGTTTATTCACATTTATTTTCAATCTAATCTATTGATATTATAGGGTTATGAAACATTATGTGGAGCGAAAGGTAGTCAATTATCAGGAGGACAAAAACAAAGGAGTGAGTATAATTTGATGATGTTATAAGAAAGAAGTGGATGTATGTTGTTGTAGTTGCTATTGCTCGAGCATTAATTCGTTCACCAAAGATTCTTCTTCTCGATGAAGCCACATCAGCATTAGATAATAAGAGTGAAAAAATTGTTCAAGCAGCATTAGATAAAGCAAGATCTGGTCGAACATGCTTGACTATTGCTCATCGATTATCAACAATTCGAAATTCAGAAACGATTGCTGTTGTTGATCGAGGCAAAATGAAAGAAGAAGTGAGCGAGAAATTTTGTTTATTTGTGGTGAAACAAACAGAGTTTTTTTTTATTGATTTAGGGTACACATGAAGAATTGTTGACATTAAATGGAGTTTATGCTAAATTAGCATTGGCGCAAGAGAGATCATCTTAATTCGATATTAACGAAATACTGAATGTCAATTATATTTTCTTGATAACAATCCACTATCGAATAATTTTTCATATTACATATATATCCCTTCAATAAAATATAATAAATAGAAAATTTATCTTGATAATGTTGTGTAGTTTTCCTCTAACAAAATATAACTACTAATTGGACATGTTGGTTTTTTAATAAAAAATATGTTGAGGATGAAGGTGAGGATCAAGTCAAAACGATACTGTGTTTATGATTTCATCCTCTCTATCGGATATACCAAAATGTTTTTGCAACATCTTTTATTTCTCATATATCTCGACATTGATAAATGATAAAATTTCAGTCATTTTGTGTATATGAAAAGCCTATAATGAATAAAGAAGGACGACTAACTTTCTATCAATGTATATACAGTGAAACCTCTATATATGGGCACCTCTATGACGAGGGCACCTCGCTTATATGGGCACTCGTCGGAACGACCGATCGATTTTTGCTGTAAATGAATTTCTCTAAGAAGGGCACCTCCGACCTCTGCCCATGAGCACTGATTTTCAGCCCATACTGTACTTTTACACCCCTCTTACATGGGCAGATATTATGAATATTTTCTTCAACGTTGTTCTTTTTCTCGTCGTACTTTATTGTTCGAAGAAAGGGAGAGAGAAAAGTTAGTCCGATGTAAAAAAAGAAAACTACTCATCGATACATTTTTCACTGTTCTGTCAATGAGAACAAGAGTATAAATTGTCATGTTATTTGACATTACTCTTCAATATCAATAATAAATGACGACGTGTCATTACCTCACTCTCGATGAGAAGATTACATTGATCAACGACTATACTGATGCCACTAGACTATCACAACGCAAATTATGTGAGAAGTACAAAGTGTCAAAGGGTGCTGTATATAATATTATTCAACGAAAAGACGAATACAAGCACGATTTCCAATCAAATGCAAACACGTCAACCACAACTCCACCAACTCGTCACTGATATAGAATCGAAACTGGCTGATGCTTACATTGATTCAAAAACTAGCAAGCAAAGTTCTATTATTGATTTCTTTCCAAAAGCTTGATTGTAAATACGAAAATAGAAAATAAACTTAGATCAAATAAGATATCAAATAATTTAACATAAAATATTGGATACACTCAGAGATATAAAGGTCGCTTAATACTACACAAGCATAGGTGCCCCTTATGGTGTAGCTTGAGGAAACATTACTGATCGATATCTATACACAAAACTCTATAACGCGGGCACCTCCGTAAGGTGGGCGATTTCAAATAGCCCCAAAGGTGCCCATCTAGGGTGTGAGTATGGGTGTGAGTGTGGGTGTGGGTGTGGGTGTGTGAGTGGGGTGTGGGTGGGTGGGTGTGGGTGTGGGTGCTTGTTTTTCTTTCAACTACACACCCACCCGCACACATGCCCACACCCACACCCACACCCCACCCACGCCCTCATCAGAAAGACAGATAAGTCTAAAGTTTTTCATCTAGGAAAACTTGATGACTATCAAGTTAAAGCTCAAATATATATGACTAAGACTAAAGCATATCAAGATTTAGGTAAAACAAATCCACTTGAATCTTTAGTTGAACGTACAAATAATTTCCTTTATGGTTTATGGATTAATAAACATATTACACAAAAATAATATGAAAAATTAAAAGTAGGAAACGATGAGGCTGAATTAGCCCATCTTTATTTCTTACCTAAAGCACATAAACCAGGAACACCATTAAGACCTATAATGTCTGGTCTTAAATCTCCAACTATAGAAATATCTAGATGGTTGGATAGTTTGTTAAGACCATTGTTCGATCGTCTAGCCATAAATACAACCGTTAAAAATGGCCTTCAACTAATATAATAAGTTGAAAAATGGTCGGCTACTTACCTGACACCAGCCACATCATTTATAACAATGGATGTTACTGATTCATATACAATGATTCCACAAGAAGGTGGAGTAACAGCCATAAAAAAACTAATGGAGGCATCTGGTTTAAAACAAATCGATGGTGTTAAAAAAGAGATTATATTAGCTCTTACCAGATTTGTTATAACTAATAATTATTTCTATCTTGATGGGTCATATTATAAAGAAATAAGAGGTGGAGCTATGGGTTCACCCTTGACCCTCACTATAGCTAATGCATACATGTACTTTGTTGAACGTCCCATTTCAAAATGGGCCAACAAAACATGTTCATTATACTTTCGATACATTGATGATTTATTCATAATGTCAAATGTACATGCAGATATATTAAAAGGTCTTGTAAATTTCTGGAATAGAATCGATAAGAATATCGAGTTTTCAGAATCTATTGGACAAATTCCAGAGTACCTTGACGTAAGATTGATGATTAATGAAGAAAAATTGATGTCTGAGTTTTTTCATAAACCCTCACATGAACCATATTTTCTTCCTTTCACAAGCGTACATGCTAAACATATAAAGAAGAATATTCCATATGGAGCTCTTGTAAGAGCAATCAGATATTCTTCTACATATAATGCCTTCAAACATGAAGAAGCTCATATATGCATGTCACTGCTACTTAACAAATATCCAATAGAATTTATTCTTAAACAATTTGAAAGAGTCCTACAGACATTTCAATGCGCAGTGCCTACACAAAATAACTATTCTGAAATAAGAAAGTTTTTGTTAAACGCTGAAGATAATAATACAAAGAAGGCTGGAATTGATTTCGAGGTCAACATCATGTGTCATTTCTCTTATTGTAAAGGAATGCATGATTTTTCGACCCGTTTTCATAAACTCTGGAACGATTGTTTTTCAGATACAGCCATTTGTAATATGAAGCCAATTATCGGTTCTAGAAGATTAGATAATCTTCAAGATTATCTTGTCAGAAAGAAACCAGAAAAATCAATACTAAAAATTAAATGAACCACTTACCTGATGTATATTTCATCAAAAGAACACAACACATCGCATAGGTGTACTAATTTATATTCGGAACATTTCTCTCTAATAAGAGTTCCAATCTAATTAATACACTTTTCTGGGATAGGAGTTCTATTATTATAGTTAGAACACTTCTCTAACATAGAAGTTCTAATCAATTTAGAACACTTCTCTTGTTTGCAGATATGTATCCTGTTTACAGAATAATATCTATGGTTGGTGCAATCGCGATAACGTTAACAAATAACACAATGATCGTCGATCGATGCATGGTTATTTCCGGTCCAAGATCATACCTGTTTTACCAACAGCGGTCCTTTCTGACCAAATGGCGTCGTTTTCTCTTTGTTGTTCGTTTTTCATGTATAATTAGAGAGGTCCATTCGACCATCTAATTTTCTTGTCAATCCTATAGGTCCTTTAGACCATAAGATTTTGTTCTCATTTTTTTGTTGTTGTATAAACTAGTTTTTTCGGATTAGTTTTTTGTAGATTCTGATGACCTGTGGTTTAAATCACACAGAAACTAGTCAACCAATAAAACGGCAAAAAAACAAAAAACTTCTTTTTTTTTCTTTAATTTTTTTTTTCATCGCGAGAGTAGTGTACTCATTAGAGAAAGGTTATATCTGAATAAGAATAACCAACTACTCATAATTCTAATAAAGTTGGCTCAATGAGCTCTATCGAATCATGTAAAAATATTGAAGAAAAATATTTGATTCGCTTTTTGAATTATTCACGCCTTATATAGAAAAGAGAAAACTCACTTTAGTACATAATCAATGAACATAGTGTCGGTATTTATGTTGTGAGTCTGAACGTGTGAACTTTAGAACATTTGAAAACAATGTTCAATATATGATTTGATGCAGAATCAAATGAGCTACAAAATGATATAAAATTTTTATTGGCAATCGACTTCTGACCAAGATATTTAGGCAAAATACTGAAAAGTGAAAAATATTTTAGAGGACATTAATACACTATATTTTGACTTTTTCGGTTCTAATTCAAGATAAGGAAGATATATCATATATACAGCTTTGTAGAGCAAATGAAGCTCTACCGATTGGTATATGACTCGATTTGAACAGTGAAAAAGTTTCAAGAAAAAAATCCATAAAAAGTGATAGGTCAAATTTTGAGTTTTTTTTCGCAATTTTTAGTAGTATACTTGAGGGTAACTCAGTTCGGTCGACCTTAGCTGACCAGCAGTAGATCTTTAGACCGCAATATTTTGGATTATTCTATGGTACACTATGGCCTGATTTCCTATGGGGTGAGATTTGAAATCTGTTAATCACCATGTTTTTCGATATGTGAAAATCTTCAGTTTTTTCATGGACCGTCTCTTAAATATTTTTTAACAACTCTCTTTTTCTCTACAAAAAAATTTAAATAGATGTCGTGAGCCAATAGTCATTTATAGTATTTGTGTTTCTACGCATTCATATCATTTGATGTAAGCATTGTTCTTTCTTTCTGTTTCTTCATGTCTTTGTTCCCTTGTCTTTCTTTCTTTGTTTTCTTGTCTTAATATTACATGAGCTTGCAACACTTGTATCATGCAGTCATTTTTAAATTATGATCACGAAGAGAGAATGATGGAAACATTGCTGTTGAAGTACTATATTTCCATGAAAGTTTTTTTGAGTGAATTCAACAAAATAGAATTTTTTAATGAAATGAATAGAATAAAAATATTTAATTGAATGTTAATAGAGTCATCTTCGCATGAAATAAATCAGATATATTTATATGAATAAACAGAATATAAATTTATTTTATTGCATGTTGATAGAATTACTTATATAGGAATTAAAAATAGAATTTAAAAATAATAAACAGAATGAAACCTTTGTTTTTGAGGGTGTGGGTGTGGGTGTGCATGTGGGTGTGGGTGTGGGTGTGGGTGTGGGTGCGGGTGTGAGAGTGAGTGTGGGTGTGAATGTAGATCTATCGTTTGTATCCATATGAACACTCTTATTCACACAAACACCCACACCCACACCCACACCCGCATCTGAAATTACTACATATAAAAAAAAGTTTATGCTCATATTTCAGCCATTTCGAGTGCGGCTGAAATTCCGAATATAGGGTTTGATAGAACAAAGTCTCCTCTACAAAATGTACTAAGCCACGAAACAGTGGAATATAGCCGTTTTTAGTTTCTGAGGAATAAGTTTGAGCACCCTTATTTCTATCATCGGTTCCAGTATTACGCAAAAATAGCTTTTATTAGAGCAATGAAAAATAACAATTCATATATGGGAAAATGCGCCGCACTTTGGGAAGCAAGAATATGTAATTGGAATTAATTTTTGTCCATATAATGCTGAAAAAGTCCAGACCACAAAATTTGATAATTTTCAAAAATTTTTAATTTTTCGATTTTCCAGCAAAACTTGTGATTCATATATCTCTCCGAAGGAACATTCGTACAAGCTGAAATTTTTACCATAAATGTAACTTATCAAACTCTACAAGATAAGGATACATTCGATCAATTTCAAGAACACGTGTGTTATCGTGGGAGAAATCCCATGGAATAGGCCCTACAGATAAGGGTCTGAGCAAGAGGGTACGCTCTATCTTAGAAATGCTTCTACTTTCCACATGAAAAGGAGATCATTCTATTATGTTCGTTGCCAATAGTCATTTTTAATGATGAAAACTGAATATAAACCATAATGTGTCAAAAAAACTCCTCTTTGAGACTCATATCACGTTTCTTGAAGAATATCAAAAAGTAGTATAATTGAAGCTTATTCAAAAATCAAAGAGTCGGCAAAATCACCGGTCTCTTTTGCATGGGTTCCTCCACATGCTCTTCTCCAGTTTTCGGCCTTGCGTATGAAGTCAAATTATAAATCATCAGTCCAATCGTCAAGACAAAAAGAACACATTCGACAACGTCAAACGCTATTTTGAAGTTATGATACTCAAAAGGCCAAATGTTCACTGCAATGAAGGAGGTAGCAAGTGCGACAAAAACGATGCGCAATATAAAACGTGATACACGCCACAGTACATTATTGGTGTCAGCAAAATCAAAGAAAGCTCGATTGAACACAGCATGAAAACCCATGTTCATAAGAACCCAGTTTCGAAGTATTCTTAGTTGTTCTCTACCAGACAGATAATCAATAAATGCATTTTCGCACGGATCGTTTGCTTTAAATTGAGGTCGATACAAATTGTTGAAACCACATGTATCTCGCTGAAATTCACATGTACCATTTGCGCCAAGATACACAGTTCGCAAGCCGCGTGCAACAAGAAAGAGCATTGTAGCAGAGAATAAGAGTGCTTGATGACGCATATACCGAGCAGAATGATTAAACGCCTCTTCATAACGATGAAGTTGACGAAAATTTTGATGCGCCAGTTCCGTAGCTGCGAAAAGACTGATCATTTTGACAACATAAATAATATTAACTGCTAATCCACCACAGTACAACGATCCTATAATGGCATTCACGATGGCAAATGTGAGCAAGAAGTAAAGTTCAAACGACATCCCAAGAGCAGCAGCTGCTGAAGTATAGAGAATAATTGTGATCTCATAGATGGGATATTCAGCGCCATAAATAAATTGTATAACAAACGATGGTGAACTATACGATTGGTTCGCATTGACAATAGCAAAATCAATCAACAAAAGAAGACCGAGTAGAATTGAAAGACAACGAAAAGCGATCGTACTCCGACTAATAGGACGTTTCCATCGTGCAACATGCCATTGTACGAATTTGGTATAAAGCGTTTTTACACGTGTTTTTGAAAAATTATCGCACATCAGTACTTCATTATTAGTAACATGTGGGTAAGGAGGAATTCGAAGCTCTTGTGGGGAAAAAGTCGCATACCTCTGTGAAATTCCAATTAGCTTCGTAATCGGCCAGCTTAACTGTCTCCCAAGCTTG